CCGCTATTATTGAGGGATGTGCCATTCGGTTGATGTTGAGCTTATTCGTGTTTTGGAATGATCGGTGAGTTACTCTTCTATGCTATGAGGAGTTGTGATTCATTGGTTATATGTACACATGGCGCGGTTCTATTGGGGGCCTTATGGCGGAATATGAGCGAGATGAGTATTTGGGTATTGCATGATCGATTGCATATTAGTTATGTTCTTTTAGGTTTTGTGTGGCATTGTGTCATTTGCCTCTCCGTGGTTATTGATTTTGAGCAGGGTGGCTCGAGGTATATAATATGGACCAGTGTTTGGATGGGGTTACGCATTGCAGCGGAGTTATGTTAAGGTATGAACCTTGTGTTAGAATCGTGTGATGGACTTTCAACATTTCTTTGTGGCGGTACTTGTTAATCTTGCGGGGCAGTTCTCTCATTTGAGTCATTTTTCATGACTGAGTACATTTGAATTATTGCATATTGGCGCACAGATGGCACAGTTTGTGGATCTGAGTTATATTGGTGTGACATGTCTGTGGAATAGTTGTGTTTAGTAATATAAGGACATTGGACCTAGAATGGGTACTATCAGGTTTGATCGTGTTCGGAAGGATAATATTGAAAGTCGGATCAGAAAGCGATTATGGTTCTAGTTGGGCGAGAGAGCTCCATGACTTGTTGATCTGGTAAGTGGTAGGTTTAATACTAGTATTTGGTTGGTTTTGGAGTAGTCACTGTGATCAAGAATGGTGCTACGAGCATGCGAGTTGTGTAATATGTTAGGTGATTATGTCCGTGGTTGTGGTTATGGTTATGGCTTGATACAGCTTGTTCAGATTCATACAGTGTGTAAATGTAAGATCCATGTCTTGAAAGAAATTCTAAAGGTTGGAAATTGAATTCCAACGTTTTTGGGCTCAGGTTAAATCAATGATTTTCAGTTGTATTGAGTTGTTATTTTTATATAGAATAGGGTGACGTGGGATTACCCCCGGGTACGAGCGTGGTAAGATGGAATAGTGATTTGATGGCTTGGAAATAACTCTTTGCACGTTCGAGGACGGACGTATGTTTAAGTAGGGGAGAATGTAACGATCCGGGTCGTTTTGGGGTATTACAACACCGTTCCCCCATTTACTGCTCTATTTGTGATTTATAGCTATATTATGACCTATCGGATTAGTTAGTTCGGGTCCGGAGAGATTTCGGAATGCATTGAGACACTTAGTCTTATAATGGAAAGCTTAAGTTTGAAAAGTCGATCAGATGTCGACTTATGTGTAAACGACCTCGGATTTGAATTCTGATGATTCCAGTAGCTCCGTATGGTAATTTTGGACTTAAGAGTGTGTCCGAAAAATTATTCGGAGGTCCGTAGTAGAATTAGGCTTGAAATGACGAAAATTAAAATTTTGGGAAGTTTGACCGGGGAGTTGACTTTTTGATATCGGGGTTGAAATCCGATTATGGAAATTGAAATAGCTTCGTTATGTCATTTATGACTTGTGTGCAAAATTTGAAGTCATTTCGGATTGATTTGATGTGTTTCGGCATTAGATATAGAATTTGAAAGTTTCAAAGTTCATTAGGCTTGAATCTATGTGTGATTCATGTTTTTAGTGTTGTTTGATGTGATTTGAGGCCTCGAGTAGGTACGTGTTATGTTATAGGACTTGTTGGTATATTTAGTTGAGGTCCCGGGGGCCTCGAGTGAGTTTCGGATGGTTAACGGATCAAATTCGGACTTAAAACTACTGCTGGAAATTTTGCTTCTGGTATTTTCGCACCTGCGGAGGTCTGATAGCAGGTGCGAAGCCGCATATGCGCACCAGCCATCGCAGAAGCGACCAAACGTGAAGAGGGGCAGTGGTCGCAGGTGCGAAGAAATTTTCGCACCTGCGAGGTCACAAGTGCGAAAAGGAACGCGCAGAAGCGGAAGGAGCATTTTGGGCGATCACAGATGCGGACATTTCGTCTCATCTTCGAGACTGCAGATGCGGCTAATATGGTCGTAGGTGTGACATGCCCTGGACAGAATAAAAATGGTGGAGTTCCGAGCTTTTGCCATTTTTGGGACTTTCAAGCACGGGTTGGGTGATTCTTGAGCGAGAAATCACGAAAAATCTTGAGGTACGTCACTTGTGATCATTTCTACTCCATAATATTGAATTATCATCGAATAATCCGATTAGATTACATGTTTTTGAGGTGTAAATCGGGGATTTGAACCTAGGGATTTGAAAATAAGATTTGAGAGTTTGGAGGTCGAGTTGAGGTCGGATTTTAGTAAAATTAGTATGGTTAGACTCGTGGTTGAATGAGCTTTCGGATTTTGTAACTTTTGTCGGTTTTCGAGACGTGGGTCCCACAGGCGATTTTTGGAGTGTAATTTCGGATTTTGTGGAAAAATATTAGTATTTTGATATGGAATTAATTCCTATAATTGTGTGGACTGAATCAAATTAATTGTGACTAGATTCGTCGTTCAGGAGTTGATACGCGCATAATGGAATTTCTGGAGCATTTTTGCCCTTGCTCGAAATTGGATTCGTCTTGTTCGAGGTAAGTAACTCTTTTAATCTTGGAGCTGAGGGTATGAACCCTGAATATATGTATTATGTGAATTGTTTGGAGGTGACGCACATGCTAGGTGACAGGCGTGTGGGCGTGCACCATAGAAATTGTGACGTAATTGTTTCTGTGGAATTTTGTAGTCAAATAATCTTGGTATTTTCTATGCAGTTTTATATGTTGAAGAAATTTAGTTGAGAATCATATTAAAAATCATGTTGAGGCTATATGCCAGTATTATTGGGACCCACAAAGGTTATATTGCTGTGAATTATTTGTTTTAAATTAAAAATTTATACTCAGTCATATTCATTTCATTGCATATCATGTCTCAGTCTCTGTTGTTATTTTTTGATACATCATATCATTATTTTCAGGCTATTTTCAAGACATTGTGAGCCCATGAGAGAGAGAGAGTGGAGAGATTGATGACTAAGGGAGGCCGAGAGCCTGATTGTGAGAATATTATTATGTGGATCGGGGTTGTCCGCCTGCAGTAGGACATATTGGCTTTATATATATTATTGTTATTATGTGGATCGGGGTTGCCCACCTGCAGCAGGCCTTATAAGCTTTATATAGCGCTTGGGCTGAAGGAGCCCCTCCGGAGTCTGCACATACTCCCAGTGAGCGTGGTTGATATTATTGAGGGATGGATCTTCCCTGGACATAGATGTTGTCCGAAGTATTATATACCTGGAGATGGATCTTCTCCACGGGCTGGATTGGCCCTACTCGGTACTGGGTGACTGATGATCAGTTGATGTGTATATTCCAGGATGGATCTTCCCTGGGCGGGATTGGCCATATACAATACCGAGTGATTGGGCATGATGAGTGAAATGTGTGAGAAAGCTAGATTGAGTACTCTGAGAGTGTGAGTATATGAGTTCATCTCTGAGATACATTGCATTGACATGCACACATGACATACATGCATAGAGATGTATTTTCCTCATGCTGTACGGTATCACATCATTCATGATTTCTCACACATGTTGACTGATGTGCATAGTGATGCATTTGTTTTACACTAGTTATCTGGAAAGAAAATGAAACATCTTATTTATTATGGAAAGGATTTTGAAAAAATTACTGTTTTCAAACTTATTCATATTTTTGGCAACTCCTGTAAACGATTTGGGTTTTCATTGTTGTACTTGAAAGGCAGAACTATTTTTAGAAATCATATTTTTTTTGTTGAGCATTTGATTGTTGAGTTGCTTCTGGTATTACTTGTTTTATGGTGTTATGAACTATGGTTGGTTATTGAAGTTGGGACCCGACCTTGGTACAGGCTCGTCACTACTTTCAGCCTAAGGTTAGGTTTGTTACTTATTGAGTACATGAGGTCGGTTGTACTCACTACACTTCTGCACCTTGCGTGTAGATGTTGGCTGCTGATGTTGCTGTGTTCGTTGGGAGCTGGATCTGAAGATGTACCTGCGTTCCGGTTGTTGCTGCCTCTTGTTCATGGTAGCCTTAGATTCTTAAAACTCTGTTTATACACTTTTCAAACAGATGATGTATTTACTTCATACCAACTTTGTATACTCTATTCTTAGAAACTCATGATTTGTACTACCAGTTCTTGGGGAAGTGTATTGGTTTTATATATTTTCTTTTAATTAATTGCCTTATTAATTTTATTGGAATTGGATAGTTGGAAATCGACTTACCTAGCGGGTTGGGTTAAGTGCCATCACGACTAGTTGTATTTTGGATCGTGACAAAAACAGACAAGTTTTATAAATAGTTCCTTGACATCCTTTGACTGCTGCAAACATTGAAGTCAAATCTCTAATCCATCATAACACCTGCAGTACTTAGCCAAGAAACTAGAATAAGCAAGCGCATGTCTTTCCGGTATGCACTTCATATCAAAGAAAGGACAGATTTATAACAGGTGAAAAGAGAAAGTATGCAAATTCTTTTGTCAGTGCTGTACCAGGTTTGTCATCTAGACTGTAGATTTCTTCTATCTGAAATTCCAATAAGACACAGTAAAATTATACGTGCATACTTAACAACTGCAAAATAGTTATCTTGTTAATCTCAGGCCATAATGAAAATGACAACGCACTGCAGATCCTAACATTTTAACTAAAAGCGGTAAATGAATTAGCCCAAAACATCATATACTTGATAGATGATCAATGACCCGCAAAACAAAGACCAGTGTAACATAACGATAATGTATATAGGTGACATTTTCACTCCGTGGGATGAATCATCATACCACTAAAAGTAGGCTGGAAATATTAATAAAATATCCCACTAAATCCTGAGTTCGAAGAATACAAAGTGATGTAGAAGAAAGAAATTGAACATGTAAGAAAATGTATGAATACGGATTAAACAAGAAACATCAGAAGTTTTTCTATAATAACAGTAATCCTTCTACTGAAAAACAGAAGAATGAAAGTGGATTTGAAGTAATAATTAACAAAAAAAGAGAAGGAAAAGAACTCCTAAGTAGGTAGATTAAACTGCTAATTCTGCTAGACAGCAAATAAATGTCATTACATAGTGTTTCATTTCCATATATTGAAAAACATCATATTTTCCAGAACACACAGCGTGAGAGGATAAAGCTCAGATTTGGACAATGACTACACGGTATCAAGAGCTTGATGAGACTTTACAGAGCAGCTGATTTTAAGATACAGAAAGTACTCTACTATTTCCTGATCCAGAAAGAAGATGCAGCCGCAGCAGACCATACAGGGAGCTCTGCCACTTCACATACTGCCCTTTTATAACTGAACCCTCAGGAACTGGAAGTCAGCTGAAGTATCACTTATGATCTTACTTTAGCAAGACGAGCCCTTAGTTCTTCTAGATCTTCCTCGTCGTCAGCACCCTGCAAGAATTACATATCACTTTATTCCATCATTGAAAAGATCAATTAAACTTCTATGCAGTGGTTTATAGATGTGACATACCTCTGCATCTCCTAGTGACTGGGCAGGTTGCTTTAACTTCTCCTTTCGGACTGCTTCAGGAAGTTGCGCAGCAGTCTCACCAGCAATTTCAGTTAATACCCTGTCAACTTCTTCTTCAATCTCCTCTTCTATGTCTTCTGAATCCAATGCAGTGTCCACTGCATCATTCACAATTTCTTCAATGACACCAGCCTACAACAACAGTAGAGAAAGAGTGATTCCATTTTCCATTTCAAGCAGAAACACACACACAAAAACCAAAAAAGAAAAAAGTGGAGGCTGGCTAATTGATTCAAAAGTTAAGTCAAAGTGCAGAAGTTGTCTCATTTTCTCATAGGGAGGCGGGCTAATCGATTTGAAAGGAAAGTCAAAGTGCAGAAGAAGAAATAGTATACAAAGAACAAAACATGATCATGTCGCATCATAGATCGTAACAAACTATTTAAAATCCAGAATCATACAGATCCAAAAGTTATTCACCAACCAATAGAGAACTCAGAAGTCTCTTCAAAGCTTACAAAGCTAAAATACCAAATAGATACCTTGGTCATCTCTTTATTGAATTCCTGCATCGTCATAGCCATTTCTGGAGCCTTCATAAGATTATTAACAAGCTTCATGACTTCAGCACTCTTGGACAAATGCCCCACTGTGCGAGCAATAGCTGCAAAAAAGCATTAGAAGATCATGAGATACTTGAAGAAATTCAACATACAGATGAATAAAGTTAGCAAATGAATACATATTTATCCAGCTTAAGCAATCAAAATATGGTTGTCTAGCAATCTACAGTGCTGCTACTTATCTGAAGGAAAACATCATGCAAACATGTAATGGAGCAGAAGGATTTCGATCAGAAATTCTTAAAGATGATATCCAACCTTTAGAATGTATACGTACAAACTCCATGGTGAACTCAGTATTGCAAGATATAGTAGCAAAATGTAGCATGTAAAATCAGAACTTAGAAGCAAGAGAAAATAATCTTGAAAAGCGTTAGCCAAAGCTAGGTAAGATATGACAAATAATGCACGATTTCATGTTTTGCTGACATATTCTGGACCATTAAGATTTCCTGACCCTTTTAAGAGATCAATGGGAGTTATCATCATTTCCGTAACCAACTATCATGACAGCTGAGGACCAAACAGGCAACAAGTGATCATGTTATGATTGGATAAAGTGATATGATTGATAGAGAGATTAGTTAGAAGCTCCCTTTCCAATAATTTTTGGACAGTTCCAATAAAACATGGTGGGCGACAGAACTAGAAAGAAATAGGAAGAACTAGCAACACAAAGTAGGGTCAATGGGTCAATCATGACTGCGTTCACTGCCATTGATGATATTCCTTCTATTGGGAACTTGGGATGATATGAAACAGCGAGAGGAAGTTCCATTTCTCCTTTCAGTGGTGATGAGCACGAGGCATGCTTTATAAGATAATGACAATAAACGTAAAAAGTACTCCCTTTATATCAACTCAAATATTAGATTTTTAGTTTGTTTACCAAAATATTTCCAGTCGTCCTCTCCCCCGAAAAGAATGTTTCACCTCTTGTCATACAACACCAGAAGTATAAAACATTTGGGAGTCTTAATTCTAACTTCCCGACATCTACAAATCAAAAAGAAATCTTATACCTCACAATTAACCCACATGCCATTAGCTATGCATCTGGAAACTCCAACTCAATAAATTATACAAGATATATTTTTCCTTGGGAGGGTGAAAAAGTACAACAGGACATTTAGTTTGATTTAGGGCATAATAAGATCTCACATTGAAAATGTCCTTAAACAAGAGTACCCACACCCAGGAAACTGAGAAGCCCATAAGGAGTGAATTTAAGTACATCCTAAAATGTTAATGAGTCAGATAAGGGAGAACGCATCAAGAATTATTGGTACTTCATCTTCAGAAAAATACATATAGTGCTTCCAATAATTTGCTCATCAAATAGCTTAGAGAAGCAACTGCATACTTGCCAATAAATAATGTCAAAATACAAGATAGAGTAAGAGTGTGATCATACCGACACTTTCTCCAAGGTGCATAGATATCGAATTTAATTGCGCCTTGTTCTCGTACAATCGATTCACAGTTCTTTTAGATCTCACAAGCTCTTTCGCTAGTGCCTATGATAACACTTATATATGAGTACTAGAACATAAAAACATGAAAATAGAAGGCAACTAACTAATGATGATTATGCTGGAATGCTGGGAAGCCCTAATATGTTCAACATAGATAAAACAACTCCTTAATCCCATGGATCAGAAAATAAAGTTTTGGCTATGACATAAACTACCAAATAAAGCCCCACAGCAATCATCAGCTCAAGATTAAGTCAAACAAGAAAATGTATAAATTTCAACTATAAGTAGCAGTTTTAAATTACCTTGGCAGAACCCATGTCATTTCGCTTTGCAGCTTCTTTAATTGATTTCTCTA